CTTTAGGGAATCATTGGTCTATACAGCCTTGCTAAACGGCAGTGTAGCCCTCCCCACATTCTTCAGCCACCTCCCAAGAAACCTGGTGTTGATGAACAAGAAATAATCCTGATTTTAACATTTTTTTCGGCCTCTGCCTTTCCCGGCTGAAGAGAGTTAGTTGGTAAATCTGGGTATGAATAGTAGGCCTCTTCATACATCCTATGACCACAACTTACTTCTGATTTCAAGTAATACTCCTACAAAAAGTCCAGAAGGAAAATGACCATTTGTTTACTTCTCAGTCTAAAGCTAACTGTGGACTTTATCTGATTATTACCAATATTCAGTAGCATTTGTTCAATGTATACAAGTGTACATTCATTTCCCTGGTGAATTCCATGTTTTTTCTGGCTGAATAGAACATCTAATGGCACAAAATTTTGAGCACATTTTGGAAAAATAACATATATGTTGCATCTGGCCATATTATTTTGCACAATTTAAGATCTTTTTCTTTAAAAGTAAACAAAACTGCATATATTTTTTAAAAGAGTTCATCAAACTTACAAAAACTTGACTTGCCTTAATTAATTCTGTTTCTTAAAAAGGATTCCTGAGGGTGATGAGGGATAAAACACCATACATTGGGTACACATTGGTAAGGCTCTGGTTGACAGTAGGCTGTTAGTAGTAGTTCTGTTTGGGGAGAGTCAAAGTTATACATGGATTTTCAATACACTGCTTAGGCGATGGGTACACCAAAATCGCAGAAATCACCACTAAAGAACTTAATCATGTACAAAAAAATATAAATAAAAAAAAAAAGTGTTCAAACTTGGTGAGAATGATTAAAACAAAGACTAGTTAAAAAACCTTTTAAAATAAAGATTAAAAATTATCATGAAACATTCCATTGGAACTTTAAAAATCTATAAAAAGGAAATTATTATTCAAGAATTATACAGTTTCAAGTCCAAGTGTTTCATAATGTCAAGAGGTCAAGAGACACAGCTTACACAGCAATACTAAAAGTAGCTTTCCTAGATCCTGCGATACCTAAACAAACTCCAAGAAAAATCTGACAAACTTTGGGAACTCACAGCATCCTAATCTTTAATTACAAGCATAAAGCAGTAAAAGATGTATTGAGAAATTATATCCAACCTCATGGTAAGTTTAAAACAATGTATAAATACGCCTGAGAAAATTCTATGAAGACGTCTCTAATATTCTAGCCTTACGATTTCATATTATTTTCATTGATACTTAACACACATGACTGCATATAAACATGTATAATAAAAGAATGAAAATGAAGAGGTCCATGTAATGGGAACCATTTCAGTAAGATACCGTATTCAAGCAACAGCATGTTTTTCTTGGCTAATCTGTTTAGTTTTTCTCTTCAGTGAGGCTGGGCTTGTTCTCTAGTCAAATCTGCCAACAAATATAGTCAATGAAGTAAAAAAGAAAAAATAGTGGAATACGTCTGTTACTATTAAGGCACAGCCGTTATATAGTTTGATTGCACAGATAATATAGAAGCTAAAGAAGACACTGAGTCAATTTTATAACTAATTAATAGATACTTTAAAAACGTGAATTATGTATAAAGTTTTTACAAACTAAACTGTTCATTTTGGATTTCTTTAATAACCTATGTATTGGAGAAAAGGCAACAGAGTTCCCTCAAGGAGCACAGAAGTGCTAGTGATTACTGTAGGATCTAAAAGATGAGCATTCATTGGGGAAGGAAGAGAGACAAAGAAACACAAAAACTGTAAAATAATAGCAACTATGACATTTAACCTTACAATATTCGAGACACCATTCTAAGCTCTTGACATCCATTTAATTCTCACGATCACATCGAGGTAGGATTATGATTATACCTGTTTTCAGGTAAGGCATATGAGTAGCAGAGCATATAAGTAACCTACAGGAATTCACACAGGTGGTAGGTGGTGTAGCTGGAATCTGAATCAGGCAATGTGGCTGCACAGAGCATCTTAAAACAGGCTTTCTGCATTACCATCATCTACCCTATTACACATTCTCTCATTTCACCCACACAACAATATTATGAGGTAGGTAATACTGTCTCCAATTTACAGATGGAGAGACCAAGTCCTAGAGGTTAGTACCTTGTGGGGCATCACGAAATTATTAAATGACAATGGAACTGAGATTCCAAGGGACAGGATTCAGACACCAAAGCCCCATAGAAGAGGAGAACCAACATGAAGTTTCTCAACTGGACTAAACAGGGACATGGTCTCTGTGGCCCTCAAGAACCTTGTGCAGAGATAAGTGATTCACGCTACTAGAGTGTGGGGATCGAGTCTGTTCTAGTCACTACAGGAATTCCAATTCCTAAAACAGTGCATGACATATGTGAGGACACCCTGCACATTTTCACACTCAATAATTCATCACTATTATCACACATAATAACTCAACAGTCATCGCACTTAATAACTGATTGTTTAATATCTCTTTCTCCACACCCTGCAAGCTCTGTTCATTTGCTGGAGCTTACTATGTAGTGAGCAGGTACTGTTCTATCTAGGTGCCTGCAATATGTCAGTGTCAAAATAAAGATCCTTACCCTTTATTTAGTTCTGCACTGCTAGCCCCTAGCAGAGTATCCTGGTTTTCAGTAAATATTTACGGAATGACTAAATGAATGAATTAGGAGGGGCAGGCAGAAGAAAAGGGAAAAAAAAACTACAGAGAAAAGGAAATATGTGGCTTTGATCTATTAACCCCCAGATTTTTATTAAAATCTTAACATGCTTATGATTAGTATAGATGATCATGTTTATTATTTAACTCATTTTTAAAAGTAGAAGTATCACCAAATATATTTTAATTTCAGCAGTAAACTATGATCCAGTTTCTAAAAGAGGACACATGTTTTGCTTCTTTGTCAGACCATTTTTTCAAATTATATTCCCCAGAGCTCGGCCTGTGTTTGTGTTCATTGCTTTCCAAAAAGTGACTTGACTAGGCAAGTTTTCTCCCAGTAATTAGAAGCATTTATCTTAAAGCTCATTTGGTTTTAGCAGTGAGGTTACAGGCTGTCATCTACATTGTTACTGACTCCCTCAATTAGAGGCAATGGCATTTTACCTCTATGCAGAATATTAGTAAATTAACAATCTCCGCTCTGCATTCATTTGAGAAATCTGCTCTGCTTGCGATGACGAATGTGACAAGTAGGGAGTAATCAGAGACACTCTGGTAACACCTTTATGCCTTGCAAACATCAATTAAAAGCAGCCCTGCACCTTACAGTCGGGGTTTGCTTTGTAGGGCAAATTTCTTTTCGTATGACACAATGCGGAAGTTACTGTTGGTGACTGGTGAGAAAAACAAACAATAACCCCAACAAAACACAGTCACAGGAGCATTCACCCTGAGTTTCCCAAATCTTTCCAATTCCTCAATGCCTGCTTTAGATTAAAATACGAACCCCGGCATTGTGAACAACTTCCAGATTAGATTGACAACTCTCCGACATGACAACTTTGACTCAAAGAGCAAATCATAGTAAACATTTCTTTATGGAGCTAAAAAGATTGCAAAGAAATTATTTTTCAAATGTCATGTCTCTCTCTTTCAGGCCTAAGGGCATCCTAGTCTAATGAAGAGGGATTTTTTTTTTTTTTTTTGAGACAGAGTTTTGCTCTTGTTACCCAGGCTGGAGTGCAATAGTGCGATCTTGGCTCACCGCAACCTCCGCCTCCTGGGTTCAGGCAATTCTCCTGCCTCAGCCTCCTGAGTAGCTGGGATTACAGGCACGAGCCACCATGCCCAGCTAATTTTTTTATATTTTTAGTAGAGACGGGGTTTCACCATGTTGACCAGGATGGTCTCGATCTCTTGACCTCGTGATCCACCCGCCTCAACCTCTCAAAGTGCTGGGATTACAGGCGTGAGCCACCGCACCCGGCCCATGAAGAGAGTTTTAACCCAGGAATTGCTAAGATCACAGGAGCTCTCTGGATGGACTTCAGCTGATTCACCTAAATTTGTGAAAAAAAATCTTTATGGGCATTTTATTGTGATGGGCATGTATCACTTTGATCAGATTCTCTATAGAGGCTTGTAACCCAACTAGACAAGACTCTTTGGTCCGCTGGCCAAGGCCCACGGCTTGAGAGGAGGAGTCTGCCGAGGTCAGCCACCATCCGGCTGTCAAGGAGCTGCTGTGGTTTTAGTGTTCTCTTGCATAAAGTGCTTTCTTCAGATGACCTATTATCCTCTTTGTCTCCTCTGCGCTTTAATACTGGAATCTGATGTTGTGACAATCATAAATTTAGCTGAACCTTCACCTCTAATGTTCTAGATTCTAAAAACTGTATAACCTAATGATTCAGTGTCATCTTTCATCGACACACTGAATATCATTAGTCATAAAACAAACTAAAAATTTAGGAAAACATTAATATTTGCATTGCATCAAAGGAGCAGAAGGGCGGCTACCTCCCATTTTCATTTATTATCACTTCTTTATGACAAGTCAAACCCTTAGGAAACTTTTTTTGTGAAGTCAGAATCTCATTTCTTTATGTGGTACATTATGATAAACAATGCTTAGCTTAAAATTTAAATCTATTATAACCCCACATCAACTGTGTGCTTATAAGTCTATCAATTTTGTTAGGATTCCAAAGACAGACAGAAGAGTGGAGAGACTGGACAAGTATTGCTTACAATCACCCAGACAGTTATTTCAAAACACTTTTTTACTTGAGTACTACAGAATTCTGGCCAAGGTTAAAATTTATCTTCTTTCATAAAAATTGATTAAAACGAAAGTTTTTTGTTTTTTGTTTTTTTAAATATGACTTAAAAAGGCAAATCAGGTCAAAATGGTAAATTCTTTTCCATTGGTTCTATACCCCCAAAAAACCACTTTTTAGGGTAAAGAGGATTTCTAAATGAGAACAGGGGCTAGTGAGAAATCTGAAAGAGCATTCTTGTACTGGAATTGTAAAATCGAGCTAACTTACTGTCATGATGAGCCCCTTTTCCTGGAAGTATTTAACCAGTGGAGCAGCATTCTGCTTGAAGTTCATCAGTCTCCTTTGGGTAGCTTTCACATTGTCGTCTGGTCGGCCCTGCTGTTCAGCACGCTTCAGTAATCTTTCTTTGAGCCTCTGATTAGCACAAGCCAGGAACACCACCAAGTCAGGGGTACAGATCTGTGGAGAGCACAGACAAACAGAGAGGCATTCAACATACCAACCAATGCATGTGTGAGCGGTGGCATCCATATCCTTTTGTTCTGTGAAGGCTGCCACAGAGTTGGCCCTCTCTGCTTTTGCCACTGTATTTCCAGGGCTGCTGCTGTCCCCAATGCCAGCCATTCCTACCGTAGTTCACATAAATGGCATCCCCGAACTCACGTGGCCACATGCAGTAGCCCTACATATTTTGGCCTTTTGCAGTAGCCCTACACTTTCCGTATATGCTCAAATAAGTTTCCAAGGTGAATAAATAACAGTCTCAGCCAAACTTCGCTAAAGTATTGTATATGTGACTTGATTTTAGAATGGCGGGACTACTGGGCCCCAGATGTTCTCTACAGCAAACTAGTACTACTGCTATGATTACTATGGGATGTCATTTAAAAATTATCTACTATATATATGCCAGGCCCAATGCTGTTCCCTTAAGATATTGCTCAATTTTACAACAATCTGCAAGGTAAAGGTTATCTCCATTTTATAGATGAACAAATCGAGTCTCTGAGAAATTAAGTACTTGTCTGAGATGACATGGTCAGTAAAGTAAAAGTTAATATTTGAACCTAAGTCTGTCTGGTCTAAGGCCTCTGTTTCTTTCACTATCACAAAGCACCAAATGGCCCAAAGGTCTCCATAAATTTCAGAAAATACCAAGGAGTGGCATGAAAAGAACCTATGAAGTAAAAAGTTTTCCGTGTAACTAAATTAGAACTAGCATCGCATTTAAAACATAACATGACTAGATGAAGTGAATGCAGTTTATTATTGAGTGTGGGACAAGGCAAAAAGGCAGTTTCCATAGTGGTTTGAAGCAGTCATCTCCAAAGTGTTTTACTGGATCTTCACATTAGTAAATGTTTTAAGCATATACCCCAATAATCATATATTTATTAATTTACAAATTATGCATGCACATATGACATGCATATATTACTATACTAGTACAGAATGCACATTGTAAAGTATATATAAAAATACAATTTTTAAGGGATGAGATTCTATCATTGTAATTTTAACATTTTTTCTCCCTATCATAGTGGTTTGCTTTGTGCACTCTGGAGACCACTAGTTAAAAAATGGACTTGGGAAGCTGGGAAACATGGATTCCTGTTTTTGCCCCAGGACTTACCAGCTGAATGACAGGCACATAATTTCACCTTGTTAAACCTCTATGTCCTCATCTGTCAATAGAGATCAACGAACCTAACTCCTGAAGACTGATGAAGATTAAATAATATAAAATAGACAACATTCATGTTCCATGGCAGGCGCTCAATACATTTTAGCCACTTTTACTATCTCTTAGTTTTCATGATTCTTTGTTGTCCTGGTTCTCCTTTAACTTCTTGTTTTTTTATTTTATTGTTTTGTCCTCTCCTCATATTTGTTCCTCCTCAAATCCCTGAAGTAGGGGTATTCTGCAAAGCTTTGATCACACTCTTTTCCCTCTCCAGGTTCTCACTCTTTTAGTGCCCCTCCACTGTTTTGGTTTCAGTCACTACCTTTTGCTGACAGAATTCAAATCTACATTGTCAGCACTGACTATCACTAGTATCCCAGTTCTGTATTTTCAGATGTCTATGTGACAGCTCTATTTATATCCGAATGTCACCTGTGACTGAGCAAGGCCAAAAATTAATCTTAGCGCCTTTCCACCTAAATAAAATCTCATCTTATTTATTTTTATTGTAGCAATACTCCTTTCCTAAATCTCTCAGCAAGAAGACTTAGTATCAGTTCTAACCCTTACTCATCAAAACTTCTATCTATCCAAGCTATCACTATTGCCTATTGATTTTGTCTTTAAAACATTGTTCAGATGGCCGGGTGTATTGGCTGATGCCTGTAATCCCTGCACTTTGGGAGGCTGAGGCAGGCAGATCACAAGGTCGGGAGTTTGAAACCAGCCTGGCCAATATGGTGAAACCCTGTCTCTACTAAAAATACAAAATTAGCCAGGCGTGGTGGCAGACACCTGTAATCCTAGCTACTTGGGAAGCTGAGGCAGGAGAATCGCTTGAACCGGGGCGGGTGGAGGTTGCAGAGAGCTGAGATTGTGCCACTGCACTCCAGCCTGGGTGACAGAGCAAGGCTCTGTCTCAAACAAACAAACAAACAAACAAAAAACATTGTTCAGACGTTTCGTCTCCCAATTTTCATTGTCACCGTGTAAGCACAGGCATATGCTAGGAAAGGTGATTAGGAGCATGGATTGTAGAATCAGACGATCCTGAGTTTGAATCTAGAATCTGCCTTCTATTAGTTGTTTTTCCTTGTGCAAATTGTTCAATCCCTTGAACTTCAGTTTTCTCCACTGTAAAGTTAGGAATAAACTCTCAACTCATAAGTTAGCATTTCCCAATTTTTAAAAAACAGGCAAATCATTTTTGAGAAACCTTGAAAAATTAGAAAATCACTTGTAATTTTTGTGTGATATATGATAAAGAGATTACCTGAAGTTAAAGCTCTTATTTTTTAAATCAAATATATTATAAAATTCATAGTTAACATAATTATCAGTAACATCCAGCTTCACCCACCATAATAAAAGACATATTTTAAAATTTACTTCAGGAAGACTTTTTTTTTGACAAGGAAAATTGATATATTGTGCTTGCTTTAGTGATAATGCATAGTAAAACATAAGAAAATTCTTCTTAGTATTGAATGCAGATTAAAAACTTCCTGCATTTTTAAATTTTGGCATTTTGCATGAAAATGTTTTACTTTAATATATTTTGTGTTTGTTTAGTCTGTAATGTAAGTGCTTCTCTTTCCTTGACACAATAAGGCCATGGATAGCCTTCCACCCATGTGTGATTACTACAGTGACTACGACCATCACCATATTTTGTCTTTTACTAAAGGTGTTGGCTTTTGATATAGTAGAGACAGCTTCAAATTTATGTGATTTTTTAAATACTTTGAATAAAATTGCATTTTGTTTACGTATGTTTTTAGTTAGACTTTTTCCAAGCAGTTTTAGATTTACAGAAAAATTGAGTGGAATATATAAGATTTTTGATCAATAAATGCAACTTCAAGACTAAAAAAGATGACCTTGAAATGAATCTGCTAAGCTACTGAATGTTGTAACTGTGATAAATTTGCTGTCTTTCTTTGGTATAAATTAATACCATATGACTAGTTCAGTGGAAACCTTACAGGCCAGGAGAGAGTAGCATGATATATTTAAAGTGCTGAAGGAAAAAAATACTTCTACCCTGAAATAGCATATCCAGTGAAAATATACTTCAAATGTAAAGGAGAAATAAAGACTTCTCCAGACCAATAAAAGCTGAGGGATTTCATCAACACCAGACCTATCCTACAAGAAATGCTGAAGGGAGTTCTTCAACCAGAAACAAAAGGAAGTTAATGAGCAATGAGAAATCATCTGATGGTACAAAACTCACTGGCAATAGTAAAAAAAAAAAAAAACCACAGAATATTGTAACACTGTAGCTGCGGTGTGTAAGCTACTCTTACCCTAAGTGGAAAGACCAAATGATGCACCCGTCAATAATAATAATTACAACAACTTTACAAGACATAAAATATAAATAAAAACAAGAAAAAGTTTAAAAATGAGAGGATGAAGTTAAAGCATAGAATTTTTATTAGTTATCTTTTTGCTTGCTTGTTTATGCAACAGGGTTGTTATGAGATTAAAATACAAGTTTTAAGATAGTATTTGCAAGCCTCAGAGTAACTTCAAACCAAAAAACATAGAATGGATACGCAAATAAATAAAAAGCATGAATGGGATTGGTGCCCTTCTAAGAGAGAAACCAGTTTCCCTATCCCTTTCACCATGTGCGTGCACAGAGAGAAGACCGCTCTCTATGAACCAGGAAGCAGGCCCTCACTACACATCAAACATGCCTGTGCCTTGATCTTACACTTCCTAGCCTCCAGAACTGTGAGAGGTAAATTTCTTCTGTTTTTAAGTCTAAATAAGTAAATAAGTAACATAAAACTGGGAATAGAAACATTAAAATACAAAATAGCCAAGATCACCACAGCAGGTAGGTGAAATCAGCTGACTGCTCCACCCCAGCCATAAGCCTGCTCATCAGATTCCTTGTAACCCCTGCATACATCCATACATTATGGCCTCATATTCTCCAATAGCACTCCATTTTGAAGGGAAAATATATTTAAAATGTTTATGTTTTCCCCAAACTTTTGTAGCAGACATCATTCTATTTTAAAAGATGTGAAGACCCTAGAAAGTTTTTAAGAAATGCTCTGTGAAATGTTGAGAAGTATCAGCAAACAAAATAGTGGTCATAAGATACTTGGTATCCTTTTACTTAATGTATGTTCTCAAAAAATATGTGCTGATTGAATGAGTGAATAAATAAGTTAGAAAAAAAACTGAGGCATCACTTGTGTCTACAAGCATAAACTTTGTAAACTTTCAAATTGTTGATATTGTTTCTCCTGCGTAATCAACAGACTTAGTCGTTTTTTCTTCTGTCATTACCCAGACAACTAATCTTCCACTGTTCATTTTTAAAGCCTTTACTTGAATGACTGTTCTGTTAAAAAGAACCTGTGACTGCCTTTGTATAAGCAAAGACATATTCATTGTGTCAAACTGTAAAATGAGCTCATTTTAATGCTCCTTATTCTTAACTGTCAGTGCTCTTGACTGCCCTATTCTTTATGAAGAAGTGTTAGAGGGTCTAGACTCCATAATTCAGATCAGCTACACTGTCAGAAACCAGAAAGCAAAATACTAAAGAAAAGAGAAGATCACAGTTGAAACAAAAACTGGAATAACGGAAACTAAGAGATGGAAAAAATTTGGAGGTTATCTAACCCAAATTAATGCCAAACCTGTAATCATCTCCGCAATCTTTTGACAAATAAGTTTAAATCTTGAACATTTAAACTCCAATGTTCTGTCTGAGCAATTTCTTGCAATGGTACTTACTACTTATGTGGCA